ATGAATGGAAGAGCAACAAAAACAAAAACTAGCTTGGGGCGAAAGAAGAACTAAACTGGCGAATGTTTGTCCATGTTTGACTCATAAGAAGATTAGCACGAAGCCAAACTGACAACTGCTCCACCTCACCTCTTTGCCCTCCATTTATATCCTAATGAATTCACTAACACAGCAGGAAACAGCTTCTCTTTTCCCTTCTAATGAAAATAGATCTGTGCTGTTGTCTGAAAACAGAGTTTGCTACATGTTTAGCACAAAGGGCGAAAATACATAGCCTACTACAAAAACAACTACAGACCATACACAGCCTAACAAGTTTCCTTGTCTTCTCACCTTTGTATGTCTGGAAGGACACTTAACAGGATGTAAAGCGGCTCCAAAGACAGAAGTTTCTGTTTGCAGCACAGGATAACACTACACTACACTAAATGCTGCCTCAGCACCTGCACTGCAGAACAGAGACCAGGGAATCAGATTCCCCTACACCTGCCTCTCCCCTGCCTCCCTATCAGGTCACACATTGTACTATATGGTACAAACTCCCTCTGGGAAACCAAACATCTGATAGACCTCTGAAAAAGATTTTTACATTAAGCATGTTGCCTGACAGATATGACAAGAGATGACAAATTGGATAAATGAAGTCTTGTTTCAAAGAGTGAAGCTGCAATCTGGTAACAGGATTGCTTCTGCTGCAGCCATGATTGCTTCTCCATCCCTTAAATTGATTTCCAACTTGAAATCAATGCAGTGCAGAACACTGCACAGACACAAGAGTGCTTCAAACAGCATTTATCAGCACAGTGGTGGAATGCTGGATGTGGCTTTCAAACTCTCAAACTTTGCTTTTTTGTTTGTATAATGAGATGTTAATGAAATGATACAGATTCAGATCTAAAATCTAAAGTGATAGGAGTGCAGACAGTATATATGGAAATTCTCAATCTAAGAAGGAAACAACCAACAACAGTAAAATGTAACAATAATACCTTGTAACATCTTGCAGAACCACAAAAATGAAACCTAGTTTGCTTCAAGTAATCTGAAATGCATTACACCTGAGTGCACCTGCCCTACTTTGCTATGTTCGATTGAGTGTTTTTATTTTGGCTCTCTCACCCAGTGCATTTCATCATTTTCTGCTTCACACTCTCTCTTGCTGGATGAAATAAAAGCGTTACAGGGATAATTAAACTTTTTAATTTATCTTAACCTCTTTCTCTGCACAAAATCTCTGGAGAGCTGAGCGTCACAGTCTGGGCGAGAAGGAGCAGGATGCTGTTAGTCTGACTGACTGACTGACTGAAAAAAGTGCAGCACAAGTACCCTGATTGACTGAAGAGATATTCATCGCTTCACCTTAGCCACCCCGATTTCCAATTTCCCACAGCTCTACTGTACACGCAGACTCATTCCTGAACTGGCCCCGTCACTTCCATCCCTTTGTTTTTTCATTCACATTCCCTGCTTGTTTTACTCTCGTGTTTTTTTTTTTTTCCTGCTGCTGCAACAGCTGACATCGTTCCTGTGGTGACACCATGCATGGCACGAGGTAGATTGAGGAAATTTATGTTCGCCCCTACAACACGCTTCCCTGAGCATGTTTCCCCATCCCCCCATTGTTCAGCAGCTCACTCTGCCACCTGCCTCCTGATACGCACCATGATGGCGAGACCTTCATCGGGGCCTCTAGTGAAATCTGTGCTTCCTTGTGCGAGCGCTTGTGTGAGGGTGCGCTGAAAAAGCTTGTTTTTCCTCAGTGAAACAGAAGCTCCTTCATTGTTTTTTTTTTTTGCAGTCGTACAGTAACATTTGAAGCCGTGCAGAGATCAAAGCCCCCATTTGTCCACCAAGCTCCACTTGATGCTTAAACGGGAATCCTCATGAAATATTGAGGATGAATGAAAATGGAGGCACCGTGCCCCCCCCCTCCCCATTTTAATGCTTCGGTGGCCCTGACTTCTTTGTGCAACCAACCAAAGCTCACAATAAGATCATCTGTTGTTGTGAGTTAAAAGAAACTGAAACAGTAGGAAAGGGGTGTGCCTCTGAGGCTGTGAAAGCAAAACTAGGTGCAGAAGCAGCATGCGCGCTGGCAAAATGTTAATGTGACACGGAAATGTAAACGTCTCCTATGTTAATGCACAAACATGTGATATCGACGCCTTTTGTGTTAAATTAGTATCATCACTCAGCTTCCATCTCTGGGTAATTGAGGCCTCGGCGGCTGTGGGTGCTGGCACACAGGGTCCCTCAGCACTTCACTGTGACATCTTACATAATGTAACAAGACTCAGGCCTTGTGGATGACTGTGGTCACTCATGTCCATTCATTCAGCTCATCCTGCCTCGTTCCTCATTTCACAGTCTCTAAATGTGAAGTACTTCCACACACATGATCCTCAAGCAGGAAAAATAGAAAGAAAGAGGAAGGACAGGCTGAGACACAAACATAAGATACAGGTGAACGAACGTGTATATTACAGGGTCTGACCCTTTTACACACACACACACACACACACACACACACACACACACACACACTCAGCCCACCTTTAGTGGTTGGTCAGACTATACCTTTTTTCAGCCTAACAGTATGCAACAGCTATATTAGATTTTACACTCAGGGAGACAATAAGCAGCCGGCTTGAAAATAACAACGTTAATACAAACACCTCCTATAATTGGATCATCCGCAGTCTCTCCAGCAGATGCAGCAGTGTCAATAAATCCAATTCTCGTTGCCGCTGATCTGAGACTGAGAGAGAGAGAGAGAGAGACACACACACACAAAATAGACGCCGTGAAAAGGTATGTCCTTACCGTTAGATTCAGGTAATCCGCCGGAGAGGGGCTGGACGATGAAGAGGACAAGAAGGAGGAGGAGGAGGAGCGACACATCCAACTCGAGCCGTGATGGAGAGCATACAGTCTGCAGCATCGCCGGGAAACGGGGGAGGAGAGGAGAGGAGAGGAGAGGAGAGGAGAGGAGAGGAGACTCAACGCCCATGTCAACATGAGCTCAAGTCGCCCCCTGCAGGTGACATGATCAATTTATTTTACCTTAATCGATTATTTAACCTATAGCTACATAAAGGAACATACACGAAATAAGTAAATCCAGATGTTCCATGTAAATCCAGGTGTTCTAGATAGGTGAGATATTTATTCAGGTCGTTATACAAAAGTGTACTGCATCTGCATTGAAGTGTAAAAACTTTACATAAATAAAATTCCATTATTAGTAGTAATAGGCCTATTTGTAGCAGGGGGAGGAGGAGAAACTGGACAAAACTGTCAATTAGGCACCGTCCACAATATGCATGGGATTTTAATTTTTAATTTAATTTTTTTAGTCAATCCAAACAAATCTTTTCATCAAAAGATGGATTACCATGAAATCTGAATTCATTAATTCAATCATTAATACAAAAATACAATTTTGTCTGAACACAGTGAAAAACAGGAAAGAAATAGCTACACTATAAAACTATCAATGTAACATGCCGGTGGGATGTGCGCACCTAATTTCTCTAAAGAAAAATCAAAAGACAAAGTCAGTGGTTTTAACTTTCAGCATGATTTATTTACAGCAGGAACTATACAAACTGCAACCAATAAGAAGACAACACACGCTGAACAGCTGACCCTCACTGCTCTGATAGTTTTTATAACTTAGCAGCACAATTTATATGTAAAATACTTTCGTTCAGCATGCAAATGTTTAAATACAACAGAGTGTCAGGGACAAAAAGTCACACTGTTTGCGGTTTCATTCGACTGGATGAAGCCTGACACGACTTTTCATGTAACTACAGCACCTTTACCGAAAAAGACATTATCAGTGTCAGTGAAACTGTGCGACTATAAAGGGAGATGATGTTCACCTGATGAATGTCTCTGCCCTGTTCTTTCAAACAAACACATTACATCAAATTTACTGGTAACAGCTACAATACTGCACAGTTCGTATCAGTGTATTTTCTTCACATGATGCTTTTTTTTGGATGAAAGCTGTTGGTTAGTAACTTGAGCAGTAACTTTGAAGCAAAATCAAAACTGTATTTACAAAAACAGACACAAAGTAAAATGTGGAAATTGACATTTCAGGTTATAATGCATGTGATTTTATCATAAAGAACAAACCTTATATGTTTCACTTTGAAATGAGTGCACGGAAAACTGTAATTTTATGCAGCTCAATCTTGTTTGAAAATGCTGCTTCAGTAACTTAAAATGCAACAAAGTTTATTTACAAAGCCTCTAGTGTTTTAAAATTGTAGTTCAATGCTATCAATAGAAAAAATCTACAGCAGCTCTGTCAATAAATAGATCACTGTTTTCACATATAATCCAATTACGTCGAGCAGAATTTGGCTTCAGGTTACATCAATAGTTTTCTCTCTATGGAGCATGAAGAGCGACAAAAATAATGCATCATATTCATTTAAAAAGGGACTCAGTGAAGACATTTTTCACCCCGCTGCATTTCCAGTCTTTAGTGAACACACATAACTCGACGTGTTGCATTCAGATTTTAGCTGCCCTGGGAATCTGCACACACTCACAATCAGCTCTCATTCCCATAATCAGTAAATAACATCTGTCTGATACATTTCCAGACATATTACTGCATGAGGTACTCTGTTACTGTTGGTGCGATATGTTTCTGAATACACAGTTTGAGTTTTCTGGCTTTCTCAAAATGAAAGCGAGTGAGTTTCGCTTTGGAAACCGAAGGTGTTCGGTGCTTCATCCCGTGCGGATGTATGCAAACTAAAAAGTGAAAATGGTACGCAACGTTAAATTTCTCTCATATATTATAAATATAGGCTTTTCAAAATCAAAAGTGTACATTATATACAGACAATACAGTATATATATTTCACAACTGCAGCTGGTTTTAGAGAAATACCCCGAAAGGCTCAACATTCATTTGGGAAATAGGCACTTAAAATACATCCTCTAAAGTATCTGATAAATCAATTCACATTAGCAGCTTTTTTTTTTTTTTTTAAACTGGTTAAAAAAAGTGCAATTCCCTGATGGAGACAACACTGGTGTGTGTGGTGAATGTCTGCCATGAGGAAACCCTCAATCAGCTCAAAGACAAATCCCAGTAACATCAACCCTTTCACAGAGAGTGGGAGAGATACAGTATATCGATAAGAAAGTAGTGTACCAGATTATATATAACACTATGTTGTGTTTTTCTCTGCTAAATAGTCAATGTATAAAATAGGTACAGCTGTCTATATCTTTCCTCAGTAACAAAATGCATTGTTTCCACACACCGTTGTACCTCTAAGGCAAATCTACAACTGTGCGGTGTCTCACAAAAGCCACTCAAGATACAGTGAGATTCTCAGCTATGTTTGAGGATTATTAATTGCTGATTCTTAATTAATGCAATTAATTAAAGTGTGAAATAAAAGAATACGGATTTAAAAAATAATCTTTCATGGGATTTGGACACAGTAGCCGGCACTGTGCCTACTAATGCAGCAAGACGAGTGACAAACATTTACCAGGACATCTGCCAAACGCGAGCAAATTTGCCAAAGGAAAAGATGAGCCTAATTTCATTAAAAAGCTTTTGTAATTCATTTAAGGTCTTTTGTGTAAACAGCCAACATGCAGAAATGTTGAGCAATTTCAAGGAGGGAGAGCAGTAACATAAGCTGAACTCTCAAAAAGTTCAAGTTCAAATAAGTTATTTAAAAAAAAAAAAAAGAATGGGGATCATCATATCATTCTGATATACTGTGGATTAAGCAACCAAAATAAAGTTTTAAATTTAAAAGATTATTTGTACTGTACAGCTTGTACATACCTTGAAAAAACGTCATACCTGTGGTTTTGCCTTTGGTTGCTCTCCACAGCTTGATTTGTTTTTTGAGCTAAAATCTTGGTTTTCAGACGTATGGAGATTCATCTTGTCTCTCTCTTTTTTTTTTTTTTATCTTTTTTTTGTCTTTTACCAAATTAAACACTATATTTGGTTGGAATTAGGAATCAACTCAAAGCTCTGAGGGAACAGGTGCATATTAGGTCTCCATACTGTATATCCCCTGGATTTGTAGCTATTTCTGAGAGTTTGACACGTCGATGTTTGGAGCCAGAGTGGATTAGTGAACCTCCCGTTTCCTCAGGAATCTTCGTCGTCGTCGTCGTCGTCTCCGGTGGCGTTCTGTGTGTTGTGGAAGAAGGCCTGCTTCTCTGTGCCCATCGGCTCTCCTTTTATTGTGCAGTTTGGCGGGTAGGCGTCAGAACTGGTCAACACTGCCTCCGCGCTGTTTCGGATTCCGTAGCCGAAGTAGATGATGAAACCTACAAATGGCGTAGAGATGATTACACAAAGATACATTCATTTTTAACAGCACGAGGACAGTAAGAGATAATATCTGACATTGTTGGTCAAAAATCCAAAGCACCTAAGGCCATCCAGATGGTGAAGCGCAGCCAGGTCCCTCTGTCGAGCTGCATCATCAGGTACACGTTGACAAACATACTAATGACTGGGATAAAGGGCAGCAGGGGAACCTGTGAGGAGAGCCGTGTGCATATTTAATGAGTAATAACATTACAACTTTAGACAGAAAAGATACACTCGGAGTATAAAGTGACGGGAAACACCTCAGCCTGGTTTATTTGGTTATAGCCAATGGACTTGAAAAATGAACAACTTTGCATTTATTCCAAATAAATTTCAAAAGCCTTGACATACATTTAAGGTTATTTCATATTTTCCAAGCAGCCATTGTGTTCCATTCATCTCATTACTGCCTGAAAAATGTTTTAGCGTGTGTTCACTTTGATGGAAAACTAAATTCGAGAAACTTTCAGGCTCCTGCAATTTGATTTAAATAATTAACTGAACCAAACAGAATGCAACCAATTAAAAAAACTTATGGTGTACTTTGTAAACAGTCTGCAATAATGTCAAGTAAACACAATTTGCAGTGTAAAAGATGTGTAGTCATTTACAGCAAATCCCCCTTTAATTGTTTTGTGCTGTGCTTTTAAAGTGGTCACAGTGCAGAAGTTTAGCTGTTTAACTCTTGGGTGAAAGAACACACTCCACTACCTTGAAGGCGAGCTTGGTCTTGCTCTGTGGCTGTCTGCACACAATGAAGGTGAGAATCAGACAGACCAGCATGATAACACTGAGGACGCTCAGTGACCAGGTTGCCAGCCCTCCTTGAACAGCTACAACACTGAAGACACACACCAGAACACCTGAGTGGAAATAATAATAATTAAAAAAAAAACAAAAAAAAAAAAACATTAAAGAGAGAACATCAGATGGTTTACTGTATCAGTGATCAGGTGACTTATTCAGGCACTTTCACCCAGTTTTCTCTGGCCTTGTCTCTCACCAAGTATACTAGTGCAAATGTTGACAGCAAAGCCAGACAGCGGGGACGGCTCTGTGTTTGAAGGGAACAGGAGATTCTTCAAGGTGAAGCGATCCTCCGGCTGTGGTAGCATGTCGGTGTTCCCCTCGCTGTAAGTCTCGACGATTTCGGGCTCGTCCTGAGTGTTGGCCATCTCATACGCCACGTTGGGCTGTTCAGGCTGGTACCTTCAGACGGCAAAACAGACAGTCAAAACCTCAACTCCCAAAACCGCTGTTTTCTATGTTAAATATGCTACAAGTGTTTAGGATCACTGTAATCTACTGTAATATGCGTAAATTACATGAAATGCATGAAATACATGAACTGTATTTTGGGCTGACACACTTTAATAAGGCTGGAGATAGATGAGGTAGGAGCTTCTAAATTATTATCTGTTAATAATTAAAATTATATTGAACTTTGATAAACTCTCAGTGTCTGTTCTCATCCTCAAAGACTCTACGATCCTGTCTTTGAAGACTACTTTTCATATCACCGACAGCTCAGATCAGTCATCTAGAAAAAAAATGAAACTGAAACACTTGCACACACATTTAGATTAACTGCTCTGATTGACCTCTGACTGGGGATTTCCTCCTCAGTCTGAGGATGGACAAATATGGTGTTGTTCAGCCTGGTAATCCTCTAGAGGCCAGTCAAGCTTAGGCGGGATGTATAAGCACAGAGATGAGGACTACCTGAGGACCAGCACACAGGCAGCAACCAGAGTGTAGGCCAGCAAGGTGCCAATGGACATGAGGTCAACCAGGTCTTTCAAGTCAAAGAGGAACGCCATCACAGCTGCAGGACACACAGGACAAGAACACACATCATTAAGAGGACAGACTCCTTCAAGTTAATCAATAAAGTCATAAAAATCATAAAGCACATTCACCACAATATAATGCAGATAGTTTCAGAGTTTTTACATTTTTCTATTTTTAGAAAATCTGTAAATTTTTTAAAAACAGCTCCATTCATTTACAACCCCACACCATCCTCCTTCCACAAGGTGGCACTGTTGCCTTTGGCCTCGTCTCTGCTACCTACCAGACATAAGCCCTGCCACAAAGGTGGAGATGATGGGCGTCTTCCTCTCGCTGACACGTGCCAGAAACGAGAAGAGCAGACCGTCGCAAGCCATAGCAAAGATAATGCGTGGGAGCGGAAACATGGAGCCAAGGAGACTAAGCCAAGGATGAAGGAGGAAGAAGGAGGAGGAGGAGGAGGAGGAGGAGGCAGAGAATTATAACTTGGAGAAATGTTCCTGAACCCTGGTTTCTCACACAAGGCCTCAACTGCAGCCACTCTCTGCAGCCTGACATCCTGATAAACAACACAGCAGGCTGTACTGAGGATGTTACGCCGCCAGATTTTTACAAGGCAACAATATTAAATTTGCAGGACTATCTTTTTTTTCTGTGTCACCATATTGGTTTTGGCTGAGTGCTTGTGCTGAGGCCGTGTGCACCAAGAGTCTTTTAGGGCTCTGACAAGAACCCCGACCAGTTAGTAGGTTTAGATGGTGACCTCACCTGCCACAACACCTGATGTTACTGTAGCTGTTAGAGGGGCTTTGGTTCGTGGGCTGATTTTAGCCAAACATTTGAAGAGAAGGCCATCTTCTGCCATGGCCCAGATCACTCTGGGCATTGGGAACATGGAGCCTAGTAAACTAGTAGGGGAGAGAGAGAAAAAGCATGCCGTGCAAGTGAAGGCACATGGTTAGAACAGGGGTGTCTGGATAAATTAAGAATAGCAAATAAAAACCAAAAACACACCAATTCCTTTTTATATAATTGCTCTATGTATATACACTGCATGGCCAAAAAGTATGTGAACACCTGATTGCTGAACATCTCATATATTGTGTTATAACAGCCTCCACTCTTCTGGAAAGGCTTTTCACAAGATTTTTAAGATTCACTCCCTTTCAGCCACTAAAGCAGAAACCAATGTTGCACTTCTGTGGGATTCATCAGCATTGTAATTCATCCCAAAGGTCTTAGATCGGGTTGAGGTCAGGGCTCTCTGAAGGTCATGTTCTTCTACACTGAACTCAAGATAGAAAAGAATGTTTTTATGTCATGTTGAAACAGGAAAGGGACTTCCATAAAAATGGCTGGAAGCATACTTCTGTGCACGCTACTTGTTTGCTGTAGCATTAAGATTTTCCTTAACTGGAACTGGAACCAATAAAAAAACAGCCCCAGACCAGAAGTAAATAAAAATTAAACAGCTGTGTGTCCACATACATCTGGCAAACAGATCATCCAAGGCATTGCAAATTAGCTTAAGCTATCATAATATCCCTTACAAAAAATCTAGCCACATTTTTGGGACTAAAATTAGTCCTTAAAAGACTAAAAATCAAGATAACCTGTGGTGTTAGACCACCGACACAATGGAGCAGTGTTTTAATGTGTCGCTGCCCATTTTGTTTGCTCTCATGCACGAGGACGCACGTGAATGAGAAGCCATCAACGCCAAAATTTAACGCATATATACTGTGTCAGTGTTAGGCTATATATTCGATGTATTCAAGTGAATGAGAAAGTGGTCTCGCACTTTTGGACCCACTGTATATGTATGTGTATGTTCTATATGCATGTGTGTATGTACGTGCATGGCTGTAGGTATGTATATGCATGATAGTACGCATTGTATGTGCATGTAGCGGTATATACAGTATGTACAGTATGTGTAAATGAAGAATTCAATGTTGGCGTAGACAGTTTCTCACACACATGCATGCAGGTGACACGATAAGAACTCCTGCCAATGGCTTCACACTGCTCCACTGATGTACAGGTGGCTGTACAGTAACACACCAAGAAACACAATGTTTGTCCCAACAAAGCACAAAAAAAGATGACAGCCAGTATGTTACATGAATATAAACAATACAAAAATGCAAATATTTTCTGATGAAGGAAATGTATTCAACACTTTTGTTAAACCTCATGAATTCACACAGTTCCAGTAAGTAAACGTAAACTCAGTGTAAACAGAAACTTTGTTTCAAAGAAAAACTCCACAGGGGTCCGTGGAGTAACAGCATTAAATAATATCATCAGCTGTGTTTCATAGCAATCTACTTTAAAGAAATCATACACAAGATTCCCTCTCAGTGGATCAGCTCCACAATCTGTCATCTGGTACCCATGAAAATCCATGAAGGGTTTTACAACCAAATTAAACAGAAGAGAATACAGTAAACTAATATTCTACACTCAGTGTACTGGACATGAATTATTCACTCTTAAAAATGCATGCAGAATAATTACAAGTCCTCTCTGACTTGTCGTGCTGAGAGGCAGAAGAGCCTCTTACCTGGTCGACAAGGCGCATAAAGAGCCAACGGCCACTGCATAAGTGGCTCCCTCCCAGCCCACATAGTAAAAGGCCACCGGCAGAGGACTGTTCTTGTCCAGCATGTAGTAAGGCATCATGACGGTGAGGGCTGCGGACACGCCGAAGTATGCCACAAAACAGATAAGGAGCGAGGCCACAATCCCAACAGGAATGGCCCTCTGGGGATTCTTCACTTCTTCTCCTGGGGAGGAAAAATAACTGCACACGTTAGGAGGATGGGGCTCATGTGTGTTGATTATCAGGGTATTTATTATATATTTCCTCTCACCCGTAGTGGCGATGCAGTCAAACCCTACGAAGGCATAAAAACAGGTGGCGGCACCAGAAAGGACGCCAGAAAACCCAAAAGGCATGAAGCCGCCTTCACCAAGACTTTCCTTTGATGGTAAGGAATCCGACACACTGGAGGGGAAAAAAAAAACAAAAAAAAACATTTGATTGTTTAAAACTCTGGCATATCATTAGGAATTCACAATTTGGGAATAAGCGTTTCATTTCACCCACTTGAGGCTGGAGTTGGTGGTGGCATTGAGGATTTCTTCAGGGTTCAAGCTCCAGTTTTTCAGGTTTCCTTTGACCAATCCAGAGATGATCACAAAGAGCAGCACCAGTATATTGATGCAGGTGAATACTTTATTTACCAATGCTGACTCCTTCACTCCAAATACAAGCAGTCCTGCAAGCAAATCCAAAAGACAATGTGAAAGATGAACGCCTATAACAGAAAAAAAAAAAGATGAAACAGAAGATTTATCCGAGCTGCTCCTGACCTGTCAGAGTGAGTATGATGAAGACAGCAAATATGTCTGGGTACTCTGCCAGGACACCCGGGGCGTTCATAGTCATGTACCGTCTGCAAAATTCCTCAATATGCTTTCCAATCAGCTCATCAAAGGTTGCGCTCCATGCTCTGGCCACACTTGAAGTTCCTGTGCAGAGGAGAGTATTTATGTAAACTGAGCAATATCTGGTGTAGCGGCCAACTCCTTTCCTTCCTGATTTAAAGTGTCTCACCAATGACATAAGAGAGGATGAGGTTCCAGCCCGTGATAAAGGCCCACAGTTCTCCGACCGTCACATAGCTATAGAGGTAAGCCGAGCCAGTTTTGGGAACACGGGCTCCAAACTCGGCGTAGCACAGACCGGCCAGGACAGAAGCCAGGGCAGCAATGAGGAAGGAGAGGACGATGGCAGGCCCAGAGCTGCTCCGGGCTACGGCACCAGCGAGCACATAGACGCCAGCGCCTAGCGTACTGCCAACACCCAGGGCCACCAAGTCGAACGTGTTGAGGCATCGACACAAGCGGGACTCGTCTGTGTTACAGTCCACAACCTTCACCCGCAGCAGCTGCTTCCCGATGCCTTTTAATGTCGCCAGAATCATCCTGGCAGGCGCTCTGTACCGAAAGCTCTACAGCAGATACTTTACCTGTTGGCACAACAGGATAGGAGTGTTGAGATTACTGTGCATGTGTAAAAAGACAAAGAAAAAGAATTATGGTGCTGTTCCAGTTCGGTATTACTTCCTGTTAAACATGCATCTATCTTTGAGGTTCTGTTTGATTAATACCAATAAATCAATAATTACAAAGTGCTGATGTATAATATGATGCATGTATAATTTTTTTTAAATGAAAGCTTTTTGCCCAGGGGTCGCACAAGCAGGTCACCATCTACTTATTTGATTTGGTATAGATTTTATGCCAGATACCCTTCCTGATGCAACCTGGATTTGGGCCAGGGATTGAACCAGCTACTCAGGGATCAGGGGCCAACCTGCTCTACCACCTGAGCCACAGCCCACAGTCAGCATTTACAAAGAAGACACTCCTAAATTCCATTGCTAACTTTGTGTTCAGACATAGAAGACGGTGGTATGAGAATCTGGACGCTATCACAAGACGAGATCATAACTGCCGGTGTGTTTTGCATCTTGATGGGCGTATACCCATTGTAACGCACAAGCTTATTCGTCCTCATCCACAAGAATGATACAAAGTCTTAATTCAATGAAGAGTTGTTGCTGAAATTCAGATTGACATTGATATAAGCCATAGATCACACAACAAGCTGTATCAGGACACAGGAAATGAACATACACGTGCGGGCGAGTCTGACTTCTTCACACCTAAAGTAGTACGACATACTATTAGCATGGACTGGACCACATGAGTACCACAGGATGTTCATACGAACACACATTTTAGTTTATCAAATTTTGTCAAACGATTAAAAATATATACTACCCATTTATATTTGTAGAAGTGTGGCTCCCTCTCGTTATATTGCTTAGAAAATGGTTCTGATCAGGTTGTTTTTGTGGGAGCAGGGCTCTACGTCTAAATCGGGTAAAGTCAGCTTCATACTCACTGGTGCTGAATCTGCATACCCTCATACAAGTTTTACTGGTACTAACACAGCTCCTGATTGGACATGAATTAACATATTTGTCGTCAGTATGCAATATGTTGTTCACTCACTTAATTACAATTATCAGCTATTAATTTTGATTGCTGCAGGTTAGACTGACAGCAGAGGAGCCTGCTTGAGATGACTTCTCTTTCATCAATTAGAAACATGCCAAACAATCACATGACCATTATTGTTTCCAGACACTGTCATGCTTTATATCTCACTGTTATTATGTAATGAGAAAACACAAAGAGGTACACCACGCCATGATGTTGCCAGTCATTCCAGAACAGCATTATCTCTTAAATAAATTACATTGTGATGTCTTCTAAAAATCGTGGCCGTCCAAGATCCAATTTCCAAAAGCCTCTTCTACAACAGCACAGCAGAGACAGATATAGATCTGCCCAGCAATACAGACAAATACTCACAATCACAACACAATACAGAACAGGATCTTCTGTCTTCACTGATGATCTCAGTTTCTCTACTTTCAGTTCATAAATCCACTCCAACACTTTCTCCGGAGTGCAGCTGTAGACTAATGGTCCATGTTTCAGACGGACAGAGCCGAGAGAGACGTTTACATGCGGTGGTTTCGCACGTGACACAGACGCCTCTTAGTGTACAAACCATTCAGGTGTCCAGCTCACAAATAGAACAGTGACACATCACATGGCCGCAGGACTCAGACTCTCAGAGCAGCTGTGACGACAGCCATATTCCACGGGCACGGGGACTGACTGACTCTGGCAGCCGCTATCGATTATCATCGAGTCATGAACACAAGAGGGCTCAAAAAAATGTGACTTGATTGTGTTCCGTTTCACCCTTTTACAGCAGGAATACAGTCATTTTACATAAAATGAAAAAGACTTAGGGTGCTGATTATAAATTTGCCCTGTATTAGGAATTTTAAAATCAAATGAGACAAATTAATCATGTGCTTTGCGAATATGAAGGCGCAGAGGAGTATTCCTGCTACATATCAGCCAGTTTGGATTTGTGCAAAACATTCTTTCCAGGAAAACGAGGTTCAAGGACTGAATGAGCCATAGCTGTAGTTGAACAGCTTTGTTCTGTCTGTTGTCTGGGTTATGATGACCGGGACAGTTGGTGCCAGACATTTCATTAGGCCAAAAGTTTGGTTGGACCAACTTGTGGAAGCCAAAACAACCCCTTGTGAATGTACGTGTATTCAAACCTGCATCTGTTAACTAACACACACCTCTCACATCTGTCAAAACTGTCAACAGAAACAGGGCATTAAAAAAAAAAAAAAAAAAATGTCCTTTTACATTGCGTAAGGGAGAACATTTGTCACATCGCAGCCCGGGCAAAAGGGGCAAGAACAGCGAGAGGTTCAGGACTCACCACAGGCATATATTGTAGCGTGCACATGATGTGACATTAGTGGCTGAGCTAAAAAAGGGTGGGCAGGAAAGGACCCTGCCCTCTTCTCAGCCAATCACTGAACTCACCATCTGCTCATGACACACAGAGGCATGGGGGTGAATTTGGAATAGCAGCCAGTCACATGCACTTCACTATTTGGCCGTGGGCAAAATACTTTTGCTCCTTCAAATGTCTTTTAAGATAGCTGTGACATTGTTTATTATTTACTATGACGCATGAGGAAGCAAGCCACAGCCACAATAAGACCTCAATCACAACTCAAATATAATATGTAGAAAATACATCTGAGGTCACATTTAAAAATTAGTATGACTTGGATTCACAAGCATTGATTCTCTCCATGTAAAGTGATGTCAAAGATAACATTACATTCTTATAATATAGTTGACGTGCACTCAGTCATTAATACTGGACCTGCTTATTTGTGTTGACTGAATGCAAATGATGCTGCAAATGTTGCATCCATTACATACGCAACACACGAACACCTGCAGAACCACCTGTGTCTGGGAAAACACATTATCTACAGATTTGAGTTCGCAACTTGACATTTTTCTCACATGAATCAGAGACATGCTGCCGTCTGTCTTAGACTGCAATTTCCCCCCTGCATGAATTCAAAAGACGGCGGCGGCACAGAGCCAATTTAGAAAACCGCCGTGCTTCCACTTGGCATGCGAAGGGTATTTAGCAGCACTTCAAAAAGCCCACCTGCCCTGGTGGTGTAACTGGTGGATGGAGCAAACAAAGTGACATGTGAGGGCGATCATAAAACAGACAGCTCACACCAGTCAAACAAACTTTCCTTTCCAGGGATTTAGGCCTTAGTGGCACCTCTAGGGCCACAATGACCTTGTAACATTAAAGCTACGCAGGACAAAAACATCCATTGGAAAAGGAACAACTGCTTCTACTATTTTCTGAGCTGTACTGTGATGTTCATACCTTCACAGGCCTCAAAGTCGGTCTTGAATACCCATGTAATGTTTATTGCCCTTATGGAAGAAAAAAAAAAGACAATTACTTAGACTTAAAACTAAAACAATCCTCAATCCTCCTTGCATGGCGCACACAGATTAATGTTCACTGAGGCCTGAATATCTCATATATTATTTGACTGGTACTGTAACTGTGCATAACCACATACTGTGCATAACTATATGTTACACGATTGATCGACACCGCAGCACTTGACTAGTTCAAGTCCATATCCTGCAGTTGTGAAAATGTTATTTATTTTTGTGCTAAATATTAGCACAAAAATATCTATTTCAATCCTCATGATACCCATCATATGATGACCGTTAGTAACCTTTAGTATGTACGTATAATCTACAGTGCCTCTCACACATACGAAGGGCAGCCAATAATAGTATCGTGCGTGATGGAGATTGTGAGATGTTGACACCCTGGTTGAAAGCCAGGTGCCGTGTCAAAAAAAAAAACAATAAAAAAAAAAACCAGTCCCCTGTTAGAGCTCAGCTGACATGACCTTGCAGGCTTCTCTCTGATTCAGTGTTTACATTCTGTACCTCCCTCATCGCTCTGTGATTTTAGATTAAGTTATAAAAGTCAGAGTGACAGAAAAAAAAGCAAAAAGAGCATTGATCCCCGAAACATTTCTGATTGGCATTTCTAGCTACATACTCACATATGTATGTGCTGTAAAAAAGTTGAGGTGTCCCTGATTTGCAGTGTCTGACCACTGGCTGGCACAATGCCCATAAAATTACTCTGAAATATTAGAAAAAAAAAAAAAAAAAATTAATTTATTAATTTGGCAGGTGGTCACACCGGTTATTTAAAATGCACAAATGCTTGTTTGAATTAATTTGCATCTGTTTAACAAAGACTATTGAGCCTAATTGGCCGACATGTAATTTTTACATTTCTTTTCTAACTTTTCTGCAGACAAAATTGTTGTTCATTTCCAAACTGAACTCAGGTGCAAACACGGAGCCCCAAATAAACACTAATCACTACAGATTTATAATAAAACCACTGACTTTTTTCTTTTACTGTTTTACCATGGTCACAAGATTTCAGTGTTAGGTCAAAAAGTACATTGTGAAAGAGTGTTAAAGCTTAAAGCTACACCAGAACAGAAGTGAACACCTCCTCATTAAAGTGAATGATGGCGGCGCAATGAGGATCAACATACATGGAGGGTTTTACATACGTAGCCAATATTAGCCTAATATGTTGCCCCGACTGCTCTTCAAACCTTATGTCTGGTTTTTATTTAATCAGGAAAGTGTACAGTGTAGCAGACTTAAAACATGAGAAAGCACAATAGCCCATTCGCTATCACATCAGCAGATGGACTGACTGGATGCACTAAAGACCTTTCTGAGATCAAACTTGCGCTACCAAATTTTACATCGGACTCAATTATCAGCTGTGCGGAAAAAAAGATTTATTTTATTCTGCTAAGTTTATAATTATAACAGTTTTCTTGGTGACTTTCTGAAACGACAGATCTTTAAAGGATAGGTTATATTTTTTCTTTATCTACTAAAGTGTACTGAAAGATTCCCTGAGTTTTTTTTTCTGCAGTGTTTTCTTGCTGAGCTACAGGTACAGGGAAAGTAACACAGTAAAAGATACCAATCTTATTTGAGTAACTCAGACTTCTCAAGCCTCTTGTTAGCTTTGGCTAAGAAGTTGAAATTCATTTTTGCACGTCTCTTACACTGGAAATGCATTAGGAAGGGATTCTGTTCCTGGCCAGTAAGAATCAGATGATCACAAAGACCAGAGACACATTAGATGTACATGTGGGAATTTGAGTAGTTTTAAGACACATTAGAAAAAATGGAGACCAAAACTTTAACAATTACCACATGAAATAAATTTGGCCTCTTTAGCCTGAAAAGATCCGTCTGTCAACTTTGCTTTTAATATTCTGATATTGTCGGACATCTATTGATCAACAGGATCTGATTTTGTGAAACTGATTCAGATGAACTGATGAGTATTTATTTGAATTTGTTCAGTTTGAACTCTGCATGATTAATGTTTAACTTATTATACACACAGGGATTGTTTACAGATGTTCACAAAATTGGGCCAACATGCATTTGTCTGCATGAAAAAAAATTGATCAAAAAGATATTTTGTGCAAAAAGATAATTTAATTGAAATACCCAAAGCTTCACAAAGTAACAAAATACATTCTAAGGCTGTTAAGACATAAGTTTCATCAACGTCTTTATTATCTGGCCACATTAACATCTGGATCTGGACTCATAATAAAATAAAACATTTCATTAAGTCATATAACAATGCTAAATATGTGCAAGACGTTTTGTTTGTGTACAGTGTGGGTTCGCGTGAGTTCAACCCCACACCACTGGTGAAAATGACACTCCTGAAATTCTGTGGCGCTATAAAAGGCAATGTTTCTCCTCACGCTCAAACTCGGTATTTTAAAACTGTAAACAACCGCACAAAACTTCTTATTATTCTCCCTCTATCAGTGCATCGTCAGTGGAGATTTTTTTCGCGCCCCCCTCGGCTACTTTTAACGTCTCCTCTGCTGGTATGAATAGAAAAAGTACAGTAGCTGCTCTCAGATGCTCCCAGGTTATGTTGCATCAGCCGGATTGTTCCTGGTTCCTTTCAGACCATGTGCACCGCTTCCTCATGGACTACTGAGGAATACGCATGGCACAGACGCCACCATGTTGGTGGTGTTGCTTTTTTCTTTCTTTTGACAAATGGCTAAATCCTTTACAAATGCAACACCTCTCTAGAAACAACTTTAATTTCAAAGAAAGAGCCTCGTTTTTAAACTTTAAACGTCTTACCTTCTTTAAGAAATCGCCGGCCACTAAGAAGCTGCCGCCACAGTTTGCGCGACTCAGCTTTAGACAACAGTCGCATGAAACGCTCTCATCGGCCTGACACTTGAAACAGATGGTTTGTTGAGAAGGATATTACACACGCGTACGGAGGTGTAGCCCTCACACGGACAGTGGGGTGTCCGCCCGGCTGTTTGCGTGAGACTCCACCCGATTCTTAAAAAGAATATCAGATTACAAGTGTTACTTTTTTATTTTTTTTCTGCAGGGACGAGCTGCAACCATCAGGTGGCGCTCTTTACAAGCAAATGTCCCCATCAACTCCTCATGTGTGTCTCCTTGAGGCATCCTGGATGGTGATCAGACACAGCAACGCACCCTGTAGTCATGTCTTAATTTAAAATTTGGCTCTGTATCAGTATGCGCATCTTTCCCCGCTGTTCCTCCTTTCCTTTCATTGTTGCATACAAAGAATTCACATTAACACAGGATGATTATGGATTGCTTGTGAAGTCGCAAAACTCTCAGTGGGGAGAAGCAAAGCTGCTACGCTTACCATTCTCTGCGTTTCCTGCTGTGGCTGTGGAGCAGCACCATGTCGTGATGCACCAGGATTTGGGATTATGAATATAAGGGGGGGGGATCCAGTAGTCACCACAGACTGTTCAGCAGAAAGAAAAATGAAGCCACACTAGTCATGACTAAGCTCCATCCGGCCCTGGATGGAGAGTTTCCTTCCATCTGGATCAGTCATTTTGAGGCCTTGCTGAAACTAACTGCAGAGGTTGCTGAGATCAGCGGGGTATTGGCTGCTTCATGATTCCCTTCTTTGCTTTGACTATAACTACTACATGTATCAAAGCTTGCTAAGACATAATTGGTAACAGAAGTGCTGTATACGCTGCCTTATCTGACATTTCTAGATTTACGGTTGACTGCCGCTCACCCTGTGGGCCAATTGTGGATGGCCTTGATAAATGGGAGTCAGCGCTCTAAGGTGATTTTGAAGTAATGCAGTTCCTGTGGGACTTGGAGAAGGAAGTACTTCATAAGAAATACTTGCACGTTCTCCCTTCTCCAGATATTGCTGCATTTTGCTCCTTTTAGATACAGTATCTTTACATTGCTGGTTAATCGTTTCCCACCCCACGGACTTATCTTAACCGCTTTCATGAATGACAGCCAGTTGATTCTGTGTTAATGCAGTTCTTACTATAGGCGTGCTGGTGTTTCCCAGCTCTGGTTCTCAGGAGCTTGAGTACTGATGGTTTTCATTCAAGCCGTTTAATGAGGACTGAATAGACATGAGACACCAGGAGAATGCAGTTAATTACCTTGTACAATAGAAAACAAGTGGCACTTTGGGTCCCAAAGATCTGCATTGGAACCAGTCACTGCCAGTGTTCTGTATAGGATGAAACACCGAGCGGAATGACAAAAGGAATATCAGCACTCTTTGCTCTCTGCTGGGCCCGACAACAGTCCCATCACACACATTGATCTTCCCTGTCCCGCGCTGATTGCAGAGCTCTCCACTAAGACTGTCTGATCCACGAACCAGTGATCTTTACAATTGTATCAATCACATTAAAAGGAAAAATTCAAATCAGTCTGACCCATGAGACTGAGGATCCTTCCTTCTCAAGCTTTTGATAATGACATTTAAGGAATACTAACATTTCTTGGGGAAATTCACTCGTTCGCTGTCTCACCGAGAGTTAGAGCAATGATGGATGATTGATATCAGTTTCAGCTTGATCACATGTTCAGCCTTGCGTATAGCACAATCACTGGAGGGCTCTGTCAAAAGAAAAAATATATACATAAAAGTAATTCCAAAATTAGCCCATTTGTGCCTCCCGTGCATTTCCATTACAGTCGAGTCACAGAGCTAAGCATCATTTTACTGACAAGTAAATGTTGATAAAGATGATTTTCTTTTTATCCGTCTCCCAAGTTACTGTACTGTTTCCTTATCCAAACAAAGATGGTATCTGGAAATGATGTATGCCCATACTCAGTTTGTACAAGTGAAACTAAAGCAAAAAAGTCATATTTGTCTGTATTGTATTATTCTATATTTTAATATGAAATAATACCAATGAGAAAACTTGCAAAATGGGTAAGACCAGAACTCTGTTATTACCCTCAGAACAGTGATAAGTGTTTTTAAATGGCTTTCTGGTATTTTCAGAGATCACCGGGTATTAATTTTCCAGGAAAAATGGATGCTTAGCTTTGTGACTGGAATGTAATTGTAATACATGACAGGCACAAACATGGGGCTACTCCAAAACTACCTTATTTTCGAAAAATGTTTTAGCCCATACCTGTTAATTTTCTTATCACTGCGAGTTCTTTTGTTACACCCTTGTGTGTTCCTAAAATGATGTTAAAATTCAGAAAACAAAAAATCATTAAGGCTCTGATGATTTCTAAATGTCCTCCGAACCAACTGCAAGATATTGGAGGCTAAAACATTATGGAGGACAGTGTTTTAGCATCCTGGAAAAATACAGCTAGCTGGTCTTAAAAGGATCAGGTTCCATACTGTGCACCCCGGGCGTTCAAATCTGCAGGAGCTGATTGTTCCTGAAAACCACAGGCTACCTCTCCTCGAAAACAACAATGAAAAGTACATGTGCTTCTCTTGACTGTTCCACATATTCAGGAGTGAAAAGAACAAGTGGCCTTATGTCGTGAGGTGAACTTTACTCTTCGTCGTACAGCATGTGCTAAATATACGGATCACAAAGAGAAAAAGAAACTAACTTCTCTTAGTTCCTGGCATCAATAGTGCATAAGTGCAGGAAATTTACTCAGCATGGGTTAAAGGAAGTTCAACTCTTCACATTTATGCTCATGTTAAATCAAACCTGACAGATGAAGGTTGGACAGAACTGCCTTACAGAAATTCTCTGAGGGGGGACTACATACTGTTCGAGCAGTTTATTCAGGTACTGGTTTGTACTGGTTTCCCTGCTGGTTAAACAGTCTAATATCACCTGAAGAAAGGGAAGTATTCTGACACCATATGCACTGCAGACCCCTTTTTATCATGCCATTCACAATGACTGACATTTGCCATTCAGATCTTATTATTTCATACTAGACTTTGAGTGCTTATACTAAATAGGTCTGCCCCAAAACCTATTTCTTGGTTGTGTTTTTCCTGTGCCAGCAGATAAAATGACACGTGACCTAACAAACATTTCACTAATTTATATAATAAACTTGACATTTTCTGATTTCTGAAATGCTTGTCTCAGACTCAGTGAGCATTTATCCGGAAAGCTCCAGTAACAGAATAGAATATCATCTTAGGCATTTTGTATTAGAGCTGCATGGTGAAATCCCTTCCTGACTTGTGTAGTCTCGTGGGTCAGACTCTGAAAACATCCTCTTTGTGCGTGTCATAGCCCCACTTCTGACTATGACAATATTGGATTCTCCAGGATTTTCCCTCCAGGCATTTCTATCCTCGTGCGCTCATAAGAAATACAAAGAGACAAACCGCTACACTACACTCTATGCTTTCAGGCTTACTTATGAAATCTTCTCATGTGCAACCCAGCACATATACATTGTGCATAGTTCATGGCAGTCATGTCTACAGGGGTCACAACCGCACATAAAATAGCCATGTGTGAGCATCTAACACTGTGAAGCCAGCAGTTCAGTTTTTACTGCGGCTGCTTCGGAAAGGTGTTGATTTAACTCACCAAAGTTCTGCCAGAGTTTGCAGTGGTGTTGCATTATGCTGCAAGGTGTTTCTCTTATTTTGTCCACTGTGTGAACAAATTTGCATGGTAATTGGATTGGACTGCATTATATTGTACAAGACATCCCCTGTGGTAACACATGAATACTCATAAAGTAACTGTGGGCCATTTTTGGATAAGGCCAGAGAGTTTGTTTTTTTTTTTTTTTTTTGCAATGGAGGATTATTTATTTTTGGCATTTACCTTTATTAGATACTTGACACTGAAGAGATTGAAAAGCTACAAGAGAGATGTCATGCAGCTTCAAAACATGCAACCCAAACTAGGAGAGCCACCCACACAACCAGGAGCTGGTTAATGAATATGTGCAAGGTGTGAACCAGCAGCAGAAAAGCCAGAGATAAAAATGTTAAAAAAAAAGAAAAAGAAAAAGAAAAAGAAAAAAAAAAAAATCACTTCCGAACATCCCGAAAATGCAGCCTCAAAAATTACCACAGAATTGAATCAGCACCTTTGTGAAACAGCGTCGACAATAGCTACATTGTGATCTTCCCAAACTGCTTTTCATGGTGCAGCTGCTATTAAGAGCCTGCTTGTATTGATGCCAGCGCACAAAGACACATAATCTGGTGTAAGTAGTGCAAAGTGTGGATGCCTAGGAAATGGAAATTTAAGCATTATGTTCTGATGAGTTGTCTTTCATCCTCCTTACATCATGTTGTGGGGTATCACTGAGGCGATTGCTCTGTACAGTCCCGTAAGAACATGTCACAGCGCCCCTGGTCATCAAATGGAAACTGAACCTTGTTGCGGAGTGCAGAGTGCAAGGTAGATTACTTCCTTTTGTCATCCCAAAGATTTCAGGGCTTTCCTTATTTAAGTCTGGTCCAGTATCCTCCTACACACAGTTCACAAGACTCATATATGAAAGCAGTTCAGGGAGTTGCTTGAAAAGGAAACGGTAATGTTTACACTTTCACTATTGTCTTATTCAGCATCACTCACGTCTTTGGAAAAACTAGCAAGGAGTCAAAACTTGAATTGCACGCAATAAAGCCAAAATTAAAATATGAGTTCCTCACAAGAACTGTCAAACATTTGTTCAAATATTGGCATCTCTCGTGGCAGTGATTCAGGAAATAGATACATGAGAGGCAACAATGTAAACTTAATATTTAAGGTAACTGGGAAATCTCTTCTCGTTGGCTGCAAGCTGCCTCGTACATATAAGGGGGAGCTCTGGGGGATGAAACTGACAGACAGGTGACAATGATTTAGTATGAACTCTGAGACTACGGAGACCAAAAAGAACAGTTTTTGTATCAAGTACTTGGTAACAGAGTGCCATTGTGATATACTCCGCAGAACACTAAAGCCGCTGCATTTCCCTAAGTGTGCGATGGGACAGAATCAGTAGTCAGTCTGCACAGCCTGTTCATCCACGTTTTCCTTGTGGCACGACAGACACTGATTTATTATCATTAGTAATAATGAAAGAAGTATGCTGCAATAGTTTCTGTGTATCAGACATCAGTTTTACTTTTGAGAACAAATGCAGACAATTCATTTTGGCAGAGGTAAAATGACAATGACATTGGGTCAGATGAAGAATGATTAAACACTCAATGCACTTCTCTCTCACAACCTTGTTGCTTGAAATTTATGCAGAGTGATCCTCTCTGTGCTTTTTCAGAGATGGAGAAAGGCATTTTTTTAATGCTTTGGTGTTACACAAAAAGAAATGACATGTTCATGATACTTTTGGCTAAACACAGGAGGATGGTCCTGAATATGAATGTGTTTTTTTTTTCCTTCAGCTGCAGGGGAGGCAGATCAAAACCTGCCTTATGCTACAATGTACGGCTTAAATGACTGAGAATCTGCACTAATGCAGTAGGTGTGGATCACAGAATTACAGTATCCATGGCAGTAAATCAAAGCATTAGCTTTTATACAGGATGCCGAAAATCAGCTCTTGTTTTAGTTGTAACACTGTTTGCTTTGATAGAACGTGCAAAGAATACTGGAACGTGTCCAAAAGACGTCCATTCATACGGCAACAAGGGACTTTTAGAAGGAGGATGGAAATCAAGACAACTCAAAGGCTGGAAAAAGATCAGTTATCACAGTCGTTTGCAAAAATGCAACCACAAAGGATAAAGCTTGTCATATGAAAGACCATTTTCATGACATTTTGCCTGAGTGAGCGAGTTCAGTCACAAAACAGTCACCTATCATCAGTGATGTTCCTCAGTTCGTACATGTTTTCGTTGGGGGTGGTCTGACTTTTGACAGAAGCTTTTCTGTCAGCCTTCTGGAGTCCCTCAGGGTTCTGTTCTCTGGCCAATCCGATTTTCCCTCTACATGTTCACCGTAGGGCTCATTCTTAGGGTGTTTCCACACTTGGTCCATTTCTGGCCTCAAAACGAACTTGATAGAGCGATGAGTGAACATTTGCACATATGTGAGGGTGGATGATATGTGCATATGTGATTGTATTATTAGTATTATCACTGTATTAGTCATACAATACAATAGCAGCAGCCACCTTGTTCCAAGTGAAAGCTACCCAAATCTAAAGCAGTAAGGTCTGAGATCTCCAGAGAAACTGCAATGTGACCATAAAAATAGAGTCCCTTTTTAAGTGAACCCAAAATAGACCAACAGAAGAGGACTGAGCTTGGTTCTTTTAAAAATGGACTATGTGTGAAAACACCCTTAGAAAATATGGCATCTCATTCCACTGTCATGCAGATCAGACTGAAATTGACCGGCCTATGAAACACAATGTTGCCACCTTTTTAAAATCACTGTTGGACTGTTTAAAGTTGGATGGCCCTAATTCTAATAAAATTTAATGAGAGTAAAACTGAAGTCCTGTTATTTTGACTCAGTGGTGCCTGTTTTGCTGCTCGCATGGACCTGTGTTTCCTGTATATGTAAAACCCACATATGTGTGTAATAACACTGATTCAAAATTGGACAAACAGATCAACTCAGTGATCAACTCTAGCTTTTTCTAGCTAAGACTCTTATCTAAGGTCAAGTCCTTTTTATCGTGTATTTATTTTGTAAGGGCTATTATCTCGTCCCGACTTGACTGCTGTTATGCCCTTTATGTTGGCACTAGCCAGGCCTCCCTCTCATGCTTGCAGTTGGTCCAGAATGCCACAGCTCATCTTTTAAGAGCAAGCGAGCGAGAGAACAATTTCCCCCGTACTGACCTCCCTTCACTGGCTCACTGTATGTTTTAGGACTGATTTTATCGTATGCCTACAAATCATTAAAAGGGCTACCTCTAACCTGTCTCACTGACCTTTTACAACCACATGTCCCATCAAGGTCACTCAGGTCTGCTGACCAGCTGCTTCTCATTGTCCTAAGATCAAGGCCGGAGCACAGGGGAGATCGTGCCTTCGCAGTTGTAGCAGCCAAACTCTTTGACGAGTTGCTTCTACATGTTAGACTGTTAAGCTTAAAACAAATCTTTATTCCTCTAATGACTCAATATGAGAGTTATTTTTATTGTTATGGTTTTATTGCTTCTATCATTTTATTGTCTTTTTGTCTTTTAAACTTGTCTTTGTGTTTTTATTGTCGTTTTATACTTTTTGCTATTTTGATTGCAGAGCACTTTGGTCAAATGTTGCTTCATAAATAAATCTCGACTTGACTAGTTAATCAATAACCTTCTAAACTAACGGCTATGGGGAACACAGGATGAGCACTGCAGCTTTGAGATGTTCAATCATCAAGTGTGCTGAGTCACAAAAGTCACTGAAGTCAGAGCTAATTGGAAACTTTGGCTCACATCCGCTTTCTGTGTGAACTTGTGGAATGCTGAAGTATCTAATGAACACGGTGCACATAAATCCTGGTATCTTAAAGTAGTTGGGTGTGTGAGTCAAATGTCAAAAGTGTCTCGTCTGCCACAAAATGATGTGTTGATCATCAGCGTCAATTTATTTTGGTTGAATTAGCAGTTTAGTAAAAGTTTAGTGAAATTCATGCCATAAATGACTTAATGTGCTCTACTGTAGGGGAAAACTGCATCACTTTATGCAAAGGAAAAAACTGTGCAATTCAGCTGAAAATGTTACTTGTGTATTATGCAATACATTGTGAACAATTCAAATGAGGTGATATTATCACTTTTCTTTAGCTGAAAATTACTGGCTTAATAACTGGGCCATAAATAACCACATAAATGCTCCCAGTAGCTGCATAAATCCAAACATTACAACACAATTGTTTTACGTGCCCATTAAAAGTGTAATAATTCAAAGCAGCTTATTACTTTGTGCAAATTACAACATTTTTATACCTACAATGTCCCACAATGCAAATTAACAAAGATGGCTCCTCGGTGTTTAAATACCTGGACGTTTTGATTTTCAAGTGCCGGTAATATGATAAATCACTTTGTGTCTTTGACACTATTATATTATTTATATTCAAATATAAAATTATTAAACCAAGTAAAATCTGTCATCATAACAATCTAAAATATTCTTATTCCTCTGAGCTTCTGTCATGTTTGAATAAATGAATGCTTGCTGCATTGCCGCCCTCTGCCACAGTATCCGGTCATGTGTTTCACATGACACGCCAAATTCAACAGAGCCTATAAATGGCTGCTGGCTAGTGCTGGATGGACTCGGCAGGGTTTTGAGTTTTAGCATCTAGCTGCTGGTTATGTTGGATGCTTCCCAAATGGACCAATCTGTAGTAAATGGGGTTACACAGCATCTAAGGTTGCAGATGGTGTCTGAAAGCACACAAGCTCAAAATGTTTTTTTCCCCCCATTTAGAAAAAGACTCGAACACAAAAAGTGGGTTTGGGTGGCATGCAAGGTTGACACTTTAAGATGGAGGTGATTGTTAACACTCAGTTGGGGTTGGAATCCATTCTCGATCCTCGTCTCTGTGGAGACAATCTCCCTCTAATAACAGTAATCTATCTCCTCGTTGGCCAGGACAATAGCTGTTCTGCAGGGGATGTAGACCTGAGAGAGAAAGAGAGAGAGAGACAAAAGGAGGGAAGAAAGCAGGGAGAAAAGGGAAAAGACAACTGAGGATTAATGATGTTAACGTGATCACCAGGTTTATCCTTTTTCAGAAGTGAGGCACATGGTGGTGCCTTGATGATCACACGTGACCGCTTCTCACAATCAAGGTTGACGTGACGGCTAAACAAAGAGGAGGAGATGGAGAAATAAGACAGTGAAGAGGAGGACGCAAGTTTTATTTAGAGGGATATTCAGATCTGAGCAGAGAAATAACACTGCAGTGGGCAAACACCACAGGCTTGATCGAAGAGGACCGGCAAGGTTAGAGAGGTATAATCAAAGTGTGACAAAGTTGCAGCTGCATGAAGACATCTGGGTGGTGCTGGAGTTATCAGGTCCGCAGCGAGGAGAGAACTTAAACTTGTGCCTGTGAACTGCTGCTGTAGCATTTCATTTCAAGCTTTGAGCTATGGAGAATATGCATCCTGGCGCAGTTGGTGCTTCAAATTTCTTGATCAGTGATTCAATCTGTCTCAGATTCATATCATTAACATTACATTATATTCTGAGCTTGTGCATCCAAGTGAACGATCCCCAAATGAGCGATCTTGCCTAAAGTGGGAGCAAAAAAACAAAACAAAAAAAAAGTGCTCATTTTAAATTCTGAACTCTCTAATCAATGCAATAACTGTGTGTTTCATCATCTCGAAATATTGGCTGTGTATCAACTGTAAATTTGGTATTCTGTGAAGATACAATCTGCCAGTGGGCATAAGAGGAGCTAAAAGAATCTCCCGAGTTTTAGTGGACTGAAGAAAAAACATGTCAGCAAAAAATAAGCACACCACAAAAAAAGAGAAGGAACGGGAGTCTGGAAATGTCAGATTCCTTATATATACACAGTACAAAGAAATCTTAGTGAGGGTGTTAGTTTGGAGCGGTGTAGCTAATAAAGTCTTTGATCAATCCTTTTGATATTCACAGTGTCGTTTGGAGGCAAGGAGCCACTGTGTACCATTAGTCATTTCAGATTTATGCCAAAGGAAAAGCCAAGCAGACATAAATGATGCTGTATTTCCCAACAGAAAAGTGAAAAACAGAGCAGAGCTGTAAACAATTCAATCACCCCCTGAACTCTTCAAGCCGCCCTTCGGCATCAGTGGATCTGAGCTCGCTGTGGATGTGTTTCTTTGGCAACAGTTTGTCACCAAGGGAGTCGAGCAGCCCGGTGCTGAAACACTGACACAGACATTGGTGACTAATTAAACAGTCACAGTGGGAGAGTCTCCATGCAGAAGCACCGCAGAGAGAAGGAACGGCAGAATGAATCATTGCACCTGTTTAGACAAAAGCTACCACTGCGCCTAACCTGGAATATGTCAACAGCTTTTATTTTCACCAAATAGACAGTAAAAGTGACAAATTCTAAATCAATCTGTGAACAAAGAGCAGCAGATAGTCCCAAGTGTTGGCACAGCAATTAGTGGAAGACATACTCATTAACATATTACTCCTCACAACAGGAAGATGTCATAAACTAGATACATACATAATCTACATACTGTAAATGACTGTAACACTTATAATTCAGAGTAGATGCAATTAAAAAAGGGATCAAATGTTTCTCATCATGTATGAAACATTTTCACAACACAGGACCAGGGGATCATCTTATACTGAACAGAATCAAAACAAAACAACACACGGGAATATACCAGAGCCGAGGAGCGACGCTGCTCTTTAGGGTTATCTGCTCACAGAGCACGGCACATGAGGTGGTTAAAATTTAGGTAAATCTGCCTGGTGTATCACAGATATAGTGGTTACAGCGCTACACTAGTGATTTTGCTGGTTTTGGCCAATCTACTACAAATCACATGACTTTATTTTACAGCCGAGCATTTTGTAAACTATTCTGCTGTGTTTTAGCAAATGCATTTTTCTCACTGTTGCAGGCATTCATTTGTTTCCATTCATTTCCATACAATATTAAAATCTAGTAGAAGCCTCAGGAAGCTTGTTTGAGCTGGTGTAATCCAAAACAGTGAACATTAAATTTGCAACGTGCAGTTTGGTTAAGCCGGTGTAACTTTTGCTGAAAGCCCGCCCCCGTGGGACAGGTGACACGAGATAATGTGGTGAATGTTAAAACAGTTATAAAGTGAGTGAAACAGCTCAGTGTTCATTGTCATACCAGACCATGTGAGGCTATAACAGCAAAACCCTTAAAACCCCTGAAGTGTGAATGTTGTTTTCGGACAGAATGCGAGCCAAACTTTTTACAGGCAGCAAGATTACACACAAAGTCAATGGAAAAGCAAGATTGGACGCAAATTTAACTGGGTGCATACTGAGGCAAAGAAACATGCGTGCAAGTTAAAATGTTTCATGTTTCTTGCACACATACATACACACACACAGTCAGTGCATAAAAGGTCACACGGCCTTGCTTTATGTGCGGACTGATTTGAAAAGTCTGGACCTAATTAGCTCAGATTGATAATGTAGATCTGACTTTAAGTATGATAGTCAATCAACATAAAGATGTGGGTTCGGCCTGGGTTGGTGGCTGGTGTTTCAGCTGGCAGTCGCCACAGGCCAGTGAGCAGCAGTTAGCGGTTAGCAGCAGCTGTTGAATGTATGGCACTGACCATTTCAGTAGACAACTCTGTTATGTGAATGAAAACGTTTCTCTGCTCTGATCAGGGAGATCATCTCTGCTCACCCTGCTGATCTCCCAGCACTAATTACTTCACATTCCTGTTTAACTTACGTTATGATCTAATTTAGATCTCACATCCAGTCGCCCAATATTAATATAAATTTCTCAGGATTAATGTCAGACACAGTTCTCATCAGCGTAGCACAAACTCTGCTCCCAGCATTTTGTCAGGGCGATGTGCAACACGAAACCCTGGTCCTCCAGCATCTGACTTGATTTGTCTGAATATGTCCATAAAGCCTTTGCTGCTTTCTGATGAGTCATTCGAAGCAGGTGTTTACCACTTCACCGGCAAACACTCACAAGCCACATTTCATATCTAAGCAACAGCAGTTAGTACCAGCAGTCGAATTCAAAGGTAGTGACTGTATAACTGAACCTTTGCAAATCTGACAATTTGTTCCAAGTGTTAATATTAGAGCTGCGAAACGATACGAGAGAAAGCAAAAAAGAGCCTGTTTGTGAGGCACATGTATTGTATGAGCAGAAAGTTAGCCGGGGCCGTTTGTCCTTTTTTTGACTTTTTTTTTGTTTCATGGATGTTCTTACATCGCCTCGTATCACATTCACATGTGAGAATTCGGATTTTCTTCTCTCTTCAAGAGCAGAGTCCAGCCTTCAGGCTAATACTCAAACTGATCAATGTTCAAACACAGTGATAAAGGATTCATGAGGTGCTTTCACAGGAATATATCATCCACTCGGTTTCTGTCTCCTGACCCCAGCTGCTGGCGAGAGGACTGCCTGACTATCTGTGCACATTAACTCTCCAGACATGTCTCTGTTTCTCTCCATTACTCACTTAACAAGGATCAGCTCCATGTAAGTACCTCTGTACATGCAGGTTGGCAAAGACCACGGATCTGACTGGGTAGCAACACAAACCTGACTTGGATGGTTAACTGAGACAGTACGCAATTAAAGGATAATATATGTTTCTGTTTACAACCTGGGCCTTATTTTTGTTGTTGCCCTCCTGTGGTTAGATAAACATTTACTCAACAACATCGTTGCAGCAAAATCAAGCAGCAAATCATTATCTTATCATCATTGCTAGGAATAATTACCAAAATTACAACAACCAAGGTTGTAAATTTCCTTTAAGCACCGAATTCACCTATGATCAGCTTAATCACAGAGCTTACGTGACTTATGTTGCTGAAGAAGAAATAAAAACTTCCAAGAAACTTCTGTAAAATGGAAAAACTTTGTTCAAATTCGATCACAACTTTTCTGAGCAACGGCATTTCAGGTTACAGGAAGATTTACACTACAAACAATTTAAAAAGGGGAACTTTAAGTGATGTTAGGATGATGTGATCTGCCTCACATACAGTCTATACTCACAGATTCAAATTAACGCCAGTTCTTACCTGAGTTCAGTATACGTATGTTTCATACAGTATATGTACTGTATGAGGATTTCATGGTACCGTATATGTGTCAGTGTGTGTGTGTGTGTGTGTGTGTGTGTATAAAGTGTGAAGCAGGTCCTGTATGTCCTGTCACAGTTTTACTCTGTTAGTTCACACTTCAGAATCAGGCCTTAGATCTTTCTGATGGAAATGTACGTCTTTTGATCATTTGCCACGAGTCTGCTACATTTCTCTCACTTTCTTTTTCTTCCTCACTTCAGCTTAATTTCTTTTTGTGAAACTGTCAAAGGAGACATCCCCTTTGATGCATGCAAAGTTTATCAAAAGGTTTTGAAGCAGCTAATTATTCATCAGCGTTTCTTAGCGTTATGTCTGACATTATAACACTCAAACAAAACTGTAAATGTGACAAATACCAGAGGAGGTTCACCTAAAATACGTTTTCTCACTTAGGGAATTTTAGTCCCCAACTATTTAAGTTTTTGTCTTGCTAAATGAATAAATTGGAATGGTTCAATAACAGTAGTCCTAGTTCTTGATGAGAGAAATTCTCATGAAATGCCCTGCTGAGTATCAAGCTGTCAGTTCACTCAGATGAAGGCTTAGCTGCAACATTTTTTTATTTGCATAAAGAGAAGAGTGCATTTTTCATCTCTTTTATTCAGCATTATGGCAAGCTGTTCAAACATTCATTCTCTTCAAATTACCAAGGGTAAAATGAAATGAGACCAAGTGCTGATTCTTTTGTTATCACTAACAAAAACAATACTGGCACTATCATAAACCTGTTAAATCAAACACTTAAATACACTTCAAAAACCCATTATTGATATTAAAATTCTAACTAGACCATCTTATGATGGGATCACAACCACCAACGTGATAACGTTCTGACCCAT